CACATCCTCGCCACAAACCTCCAACCCCATGGACGTCCCTAATAACACAATACATTCCACAACTGGCATAGGTTCCTGAGGGTTAGCCCCAAACCCTTCAAAATCCCTCTCTTGTACACATTGTGGCCACAGTTTCCTCCAAGCAGAGTTCAAAGTTCTACAAGTAACTCCCTCCCAAGCCTTACCTATAAGGTTTATGCAACTGAGGATATTGAAGTAATCTTTCCAAAACTCTCTTATGGTCAATTCAGTGTCTGCGGTCACTTCAAAGCACTTTTGAAACACTGCTTTTGTGTAGAGTTTTTTGAAGTTTGAAATGACGTGCTTGTCCATGGGCTGGAGGAGAGGAGTTGTATTAGGAGGCAAAAACTTAACTTTGATGAAGCTGAACTCCCCCACAATTTACTCTTGCAAGTTGTGAGGATGAGCAGGAGCACTTGAGTGACAATTTCTGTTCCAGGAGGTAATTTTTCACAGTGGGGCCAAACACACCATAAAACCACTCCAGGAAAATTTCCTTAGTGACCCATGCCTTAGTGTTTGATCTCCACAGCACACACAAATTACCCTTGATGATATTATTTTTCTTGAACACTCTGGGACCTTCAGAGTGATACACGAGTAAAGGTTTCACTTTGCAATCATCAGCAGCATCACTGCATAACGTAAGTGTGAGCCTGTCTTTAACCCTTTCGGGATTTCAGCCATACTAGTACGGCTTACGTGCCAGGGTTTTTGATGTACTAGTACGCATAAATTCTAGCACCCTCAAATCTAGCAAGAGAAAGCTGGTAGGCAAAAATATAGCCTTGGTTTTCGTGATTTCCCTTGGATTTTGGCAGTGGTATGGAATGTGTCCCAGTGGCCCCGTGCACACAAAGCCTGCCACAGATGCATTCAGCGCCAGTCTGGCAATGTTTCTCGACGAGTGAGCAACACACCCTGCATTCATACGAAACATTTCACAATAATCCAGTGTTTTTTGTGCTTGGAACTGCTAAATAAGCCACTATGGCCTCAAAGAAAGCTCCTAGTGCCAGACTTCTGGTAAAGAAGGTGAGAAACATGATAGAATTAAAGAAAGAAATCATAGAGAAATATGAAAGTGGCATACGTGTGACTGATCTTGTCAGGATGTACAGGAAGCCCAATTAAATGATCACTTTCATCGTGGGGAAGAAAAAGGAAATCAAGGAAGCTGATGTTGCGAAAGGGGTAAATGTGATAATGAAACAGAGGTCATAAACAGTTGAACATGTGGAGAAATTGTCGTTGTTGTTGTGGATCAACCAAATACAATTAGCAGGAGATAGTGTTGTACAGTCAATAATTTTCGAAAAGGCAAGGCAGCTGCATGCCGATCTCAAAGAAAAGGCCTGGAACGAGTGCTGCTGTTAGTGAATTTAAGGCCAGCAAAGGCTCGTTCAAAAATTTCAAGAAGCGAAGTGGCATACACAGTGTTGTAAGGCATGGTGAGGGAGCAAGTTCAGATAAACATGTAGCTGAAAAATTCATGCATGAATTCAAGGAGCACGTAGAGGCAGAAGAATTCCTCCCCTAACAAGTGTTCAACTGTGATGAAACAGGCCTCTTTTGGAAGAAAATGCCAAAGAGGACCCACATCATGCAGGGGGGAAAGGCACTCCCAGGACACAAGCATATGAAAGACAGGTTAACTCTCATGTTTTGTAGTAATGCTAGTGGGGATTTCAAAGTGAAGCCTTTACTGATGTATCACTGAAAATCCCAGTGTTCAAGAAAAACAGTGTCGCCAAGAGTAAACTGTCTGTGATGTGGAAGGCTAACAATAAGGCATGGGTTGCGAGGGAAATTTTCCTTGATTGGTCCAATGAAGTGTTTGGCCCGTGTGTGAAGAAATACCTCCTGGAAAATCAACTGCCACTCAAGTGCCTCCTGGTAATGGATAATGCTCCTGCTCATCCTCCAGACTTGGATGACCAATTGTGTGAGGAGTTTAGTTTCGTCACAGTGAAGTTCTTGCCCTCTAATATCATTCCTCTCATCCAGCCCGTGGACCAGCAGATCATTTCAAACTTCAAAAAATTCTACACCAAAACAATTTTTCAAAGGTGCTTTACATGACCTCGGACACTGAATTGACCCTAAGAGAGTTCTGGAAGGATCACTTCAATATCCTCAATTGCATAACCCTTATAGATAAGTTAAGGCAGGAAGTGACTTCCAGGATGATGAACTCTGCTTGGAGAGAATTGTGGCCAGAATGTACCCAACAGAAGGATTTTGAAGGGTTTGGGGCTGACCCTGTCAACCCTACACCTGAATGTGGAATGTATTGTGGCACTGGGGAATTCCTTGGGGTTGGATGTGTGGCTAGGATGTAGAAGAGTTAGTGGAGGACCACAGTCGAGAGCTAACCAATGAAGAGCTGCAAGACCTTCATCTGCAACAGCAACAGACCAGAGCTCAGGAAACTGCTTCAGAGGAGGAGGAGGAGGAGGAAGAGAAATCAAAGAAGGTGCCTTCTTCAAATATTAAGGACATTTGTGCAAAGTGGAGTGAGGTGCAAACGTTTGTGGAGGAATATCATCCTGACAAAGCTGTTGCAAGCTGTGTTGGCAACATGCACAATGACAATGCCATGTCCCATTTTAGGCAAATCATAAAGAGACACCAGAAACAGAGCTCTCTGGAACAATTTTTTGTGCGACAGGGTTCCAGCGACTCTCAGGCTGGTCCTAGTGCCATTAAAAAACAAAGAAGGGAAGTAACCCCAGATAAGGACTCAGTACCTGAAGTCTTTATGGAAGGGGATTCTCCTTCCAAACAATAGTAACTTCTCCCTCTCCCCTCCTCCCATCTTTCATACACCAACAAGAGTCTTCAATAAAGGTTAGTGTGATGTTATTATTGCTTTACTATATTGATCCGTCATTGTTTTCTGTATGTAAATCTATATTTAATCTCTAAAAAAATTACTTTTGGGTGTCTGGAATGGATTAATTGGAATTACATTATTTCTTATGGAGAAAATGGTTTTGGTTTTCATGCATTTTGGTTTTCAGCAGACTCTCTGGAACAGATTAATCATGAAAACCAAGGGTCTACTGTAGATGTGACAGTGGATGGGTTTATGCAGGACGAGGTTAACCACAGAACTGATGAAGAAAAAAAAGGTGGGTGGTGCATTAAGGTATCCATGGTGACCAAAAAAAAAAAGTTATCCATGGAGGCAAATAAGGGAATGTATAAGAGTATAGTAGTACCAACATATGGGTGTGAAGCATGGGTTGTAAATACTGCAGCAAGGAGGAGGATGGAGACAGTGGAGATGTAATGTCTAAGGACAATATGTGGTGTAAATATTATGCAGAGAAGACATAGTGTGGAAATTAGGAGGTGTGGAGTTACTAAAAGCATTATTCAGAGGCTTGAAGTGAAGTTTTTGAGGTAGTTTGGTCATTTAGAGAGGATGGAGCAAAATAGGATGACTTGGAGGGTGTATAAATCTGTAGTGGAGGGGAGAAGGGGCAGGGGTAGTCCTGGGAAAGGATGGAGGGGGGTAAAAGAGGTTTTGTGTGCAAGGGGCTTGGACATACAGAAGGCATGTGTGAGCATGTTAGATAGGACTGAACAGAGACAAATGGTTTTTGGGATCTGACAAGCTACTGGAGTGTGAGCAGGGTAATATTTTGTGAAAGGATTAAGGGAAACTGGTTAGCTGGACTTGAGTCCTGGAGGTGGGAAGCACAATGTCTGCATTTTAACCCTTTGAGGGTCGACAGGCCCTCTCCGAAACTCGTTCTCAGGGTCGGCCAAATTTAAAAAAAATAAAAAATTATTTTCTCTTATGAAAAGATGAGAATCTTTTCCCGATCATAAAGACACCAAAAGTTTGAAATTTGATAGAAAACTTACGGAATTATGCTCTTGCAAAGTTAGCGGTCTCGGCGATGTTTACACATCGGCGATTTTGCCCACTTTGAGCCCCATTTTCGGCCAATTTCACTGTACTAGTCGACAAAAAACATGAATATTTCGCTAGAAAATCTCCATTTTTTTATCGAATGGGTGCAAGAAACCACCCCTTTATGAAATTCAACTATCCAGTACAGTGGTCAGAATTTAGCAATTTTGCAATTTCACACAAATTTCAAAAGATGCCAATTTCCGAATAGGGTCCAGAATAAACAAAAAAGACATTCCTGGCACTAAAATGACATTTTTTTTCTAGTCATTAGTCACGTCTCAAGGCCCCCTTTATATTCTTTTGCTTTCCACTTTGAATTTTATTCTCACAAAAAATATAAGATTTACTGTTATGCAGACTACTGCATTAGTGTACAAAATGTATAAATATTATTGGTGCACTTGTGAAAGAATATTAGACTCACCAGTTGACGTGTATTGCAGCTTGACACGATTTGTTTTTCTTTGAAGTTTGGTAAAAATCGAACATTTCTGCTACTTTGAGCTCAATTTCAAGGCACCTTTCATTGTAAAACCAGTCAAAATCATCTCAATTTCTGTAATATGTCTTCCATTCTATAAAATGAGACCAAGAAAACTAGAATACAACAATAAATACCATACGAAAATACACTGCAAAGTCGCTGATTTATTCCAAAAAAATGGTAAAAGTTTTTTTTTCTCATTATGCACTGTGTGCTGCAGGATTTTTTTTAGACTGTGCACACTGACCACATAGACCCATTCTTTCATATGAAGGCCTACCAGCTTACTCCCACTAGATTTGAGGCCGCTAGAATTTATGCGTACTAGTACGTCAAAAACCCCTACGCGTAAGACGTACTAGTACGACCAAAACCCTCAAAGGGTTAAAGGAGTGGGGAGGGGGGGTACTGGCTGTTTGGAGTGACATCTAAACCGTCGTATCTGAGTGCCTCTGCGAAGACAGCAATTATATGTGAATGATGGTGAAAGCGATTCTTTTTTGGGTCACCCTGCCTTGGTGGGAGATGGTTGACGTGTTGAAAATTAAAGAAACAAAAACACACACATACATATTCAAATTTATTTGCAAGTAGTACACTGAGATTACGTATTTCCAATAATGGGTTGCAATGCAAAGAGCCTCTATTATGCCTAGGCATTATGGGCTGACTTACTTTAATGGCTTACTGACTACTTAACACCAAAGAAATTTATCATAGTTGTACTGTAGTTCTATTAATTAAAAGTGAATCTAATTTATACAAACAAGGATATATTCATATATTCAAAAATGCTTTTTATGAAACATGATTCAAGAGTAGTTTCCAGTATGAGAATGCTACAATTTGGAGAAGGGCAGTACTGCTTTTGGTAGGTATATATATTTCTATGTGGTAATTTGTCAATATATGAACTCAGTTGTCTAGTCTTGAAGTTTTAAGATTTAGGTAACTGGTAGATTTATTGGTAATGTTAAATAAGTGGCTTTTGAGAAGTGTGTTCAATTGATTTTCAGACTGGGTTACTTTAATATTTTCTGGTAATGAATTCCAAATTTTGGGGCCCTTTATGTGCATAGAGTTTTTACACAGCGTGATATGGACACGGGGTACATCAAAAAGAGATCTGTGTCTTGTGTTTGGTCGTATGTCCTGTTAAGGTTGGTAAGAAGTTTGAGTGGAGGGTTTATGTTTGCGTGTATTGTTCTATGTATGTAGTAGGCACATGAATAAGTATGGGATGTTCTTAATGGTGAGAAGATTTAGACTTTTGAATATTGGTGGAGTATGCTGTCAGGAGTGGGAATTTATTATTCTGACTGCAGCCTTTTGCTGGGTTATTACTGGTCTTAGGTGATTTAATGCTGTTGATCCCCATGCTCAAATTCCATAAGTGAGATAAGGGTAGACGAGTGAATGATACAGTGCAAAGAGAGCCGATTGTGAAACATAGTATCGTATCTTTGATAGTATGCCTACAGTCTTAGAGATTTTCTTGGTGATTTGTTGTATGTATATGTGTTTGGAACTTGAGGCTACTGTCAAGGTGGATTTCTAGGAATTTTCCCTCCGCGAGTCTTGTGACACATGATCCGTTAAGTGTTATGTTAAGTGGAGCACTTGCAGCTTAGTTTCCAAACTGAATGAAGTAGGTTTTGTCAGTATTCAGGGTAAGTTTATTAGTCATCATCCAGGCAGATATTTTCTAAAATTTGGCATTGACAGTGTTGGCGAGTATGACTGGGTTTGGGTGGGAGAAGATGTATGTAGTGTCATCTGCAAATAATATGGGTTTGAGTAGCTGTGATGCATTCAGTAGGTCATTGATGTAGATGAGAAAGAGGAGTGGTCCAATGACATTTCCCTGTGGGACTCCTACTATGATTGGTTGAGTGGAAGGGTTTGCACCATTTGTGTGCACATACTGGCTTCCGTTACTATGGTATGACTTTAGGTAGTTATTCACAAGAGATCTTCACCAAAAATTATACTTGAAAATATGAACTGCCAGTTAGGTGATGGTCTTGGAGGAAAGATGTCAGCATGAGCATGTACCAGCAGTACTTCACAGAGAGCAGTTGGCCAAGTGTGCAACTGCAGCACCAGTGGAGAACTGACAGTATTTTTGAAATGCTTGTAAGATTCATCAGCTGCAACAGTTGAGAAGTATATATCACCTGAAAAATGGTCACATGTTAATAAAAATGAAACTGTATTCACTGGATAGTGTGCAAAGCCCACTCTCATGACCTACCATTATTATTATTATTACCCTACCAAGGTAGAGTGATCCAAAAAATGTAAACATTCACCACCATTTACTCAATAACTGTCTTGCCAGAAGTGTGCATGCATGACAATTTGAATCCTTTCCTATATTTCAACATCCTAATTCCTCCAGAATGCAAGTATACTGTACTTCCCACCGCCAAGACTCAAGCCTAGTTAACCAGTTTCCGTGCTCACACTCCAATAGCACGTTAAATCCCAAAAGCAACTTCTCTCAACTCATCTGACTAACACACACAGACACACACACACACACATGCTATTTTTGGTATATGTGAACGACATGATGGAAGGGTTAGACTCAGAAGTGTCCCTGTTTGCAGATGATGTGAAGTTAATGAGGAGAATTAAATCTGATGAGGACCAGGTAGGACTTCAAAGAGACCTGGACAGACTGGACACCTGGTCCAGCAAATGGCTTTTCGAATTTAATCCTGCCAAATGCAAAGTCATGAAGATAGGGGAAGGGCACAGAAGACCACAGACAGAGTATAGGCTAGGTGGCCAAAGACTGCAAACCTCACTCAAGGAGAAAGATCTTGGGGTGAGTATAACACCGAACATGTCCCCGGGAAAGCACACATCAATCAGATAAACTGCTGCAGCATAATGGGCGCCGGGCAAACCTGAGAACAGCATTCCGATACCTAAGTAAGGAATCTTTCCCAAGACACTGTACACCGTGTATGTCAGGCCCATACTGGAGTATGCAGCACCTGTTTGGAAAACCCGCATTTGATAAAGCACGTAAAAGAAACTAGAGAAAGTAAAAAGGTTTGCGACAAGGTTAGTTCCAGAGCAAAGGGGGAATGTCCTATGAAGAAGATTGGGGAAAAATGGGCCTGACGACACTGGAGGACGGGAGGGTCAGGGAGACATGATAACGACATATAAAATACTGCGGGGAAATTAGACAAGGTGGACAAAGACAGGTGTTCCAGGAGGGGACACAGAAACAAGAGGCCACAATTGGAAGTTGAAGACACAAATGATTCAGAGGATATTAGGAAGTATTTCTTCAGTCATAGAGTTGTAAGGCAGTGGAATAGCCTAGAAAATGACGTAGTGGAGGCAGGAACCATACACAGTTTTAAAACGAGGTTTGATAAAGCTCATGGAGCGGGGAGAGAGAGGGCCCAGTAGCAACCGGTGAAGAGGCGGGGCCAGGAGCTAAGACTCGACCCCTGCAACCACAAATAGGTGAGTACACACACACACACACACACACACACACACACGTCCCTGTTTGCAGATGACGTGAAATTAATGAGGAGAATTAAATCAAAAGCAGACCAGATAGGTCTACAAAGAGACCTGGATAGGCTGGATGTGTGGTCCAGAAACTGGCTCCTAGAATTTAACCCTGCCAAATGCAAAGCCATGAAGATCAGAGGAGGGCAAAGAAGACCGCAGAGTATAGGCTAGGAGGCCAAATGTTGCAAACCTCACTCAAGAAGAAAGACCTAGGAGTGAGTATAATACCAAGTACATTGCCAGAAGCACACATTAACCAGATAACTGCTGCGGCATACGGGCGCTTGGCAAACCTGAGAATAGCGTTCCGGTATCTTAGTAAGGAATCATTCAAGACTTTATACACTGTGTACGTCAGGCCCATACTGGAGTATGCAGCACCAGTTTGGAACCCAAACCTGGTCAAACACATCAAGAAATTAGAGAAAGTGCAAAGGTTTGCAACAAGGCTAGTTCCAGAGCTGAGGGGAATGTCCTATGAAGAAAGGTTAAGAGAAATCGGTCTAACAACACTCGAGGACAGGAGGGTCAGGGGAGACATGATAACAACATACAAAATACTTCATGGAATAGACAAGGTGGACAGAGACAGGATGTTCCAGAGATGGGACACAGAAACAAGGGGTCACAATTGGAAGCTGAAGACTCAGATGAGTCAAAGGGATGTTAGAAAGTACAGTGGTCCCTCAATTATCGTCCTTAATCCGTTCCTGGAAGTGGGACTATTATCGAAATAGACGATTTTCGAATCAATTTTCCCCATAACAAATAATGTAAATAAAATTTATCCGTTCCTGACACCCAAAAGTATTAAAACAAAAATAATTTTTACATGAAATATAGATGTATTACATAAACAATACAATGGGACATGATGAATGAAACATTAACAGCATAACACTTACCTTCATTGGCACTTCTTCTTAGTGTATGGAAGACTGGAGGAGGAGAGAGATTGAATTACTGTTTGGAAGGGAAATCCCCTTCCATCAACACCTCAGGTACCAAGTCCTTTTCTGGGGTTACTTCTCTTCTCTGTTTCTTGTCACTAGGACCAGCTTGAGAGTCACTGGAGTCCTGTCTAGCAAAAGAAGTGTCCAGAGAGCTCTGTTTCTGGCAACTCTTTAAAACTTCCCTAAAATGGGCCAAGACTCTGTCACTGTACAAGTTGCCGATATGGCTTGCAACATCCTTCTCAGGGTGATGTTTCTCCATAAGTCTTTCCATCCTACCCCACATTTCAAAAATCTCCTTAATTTCTGAAGAAGGCACCTTCTTCCATCTCTCTTCCTCCTCCTCTGCAGCAAGATTCTGAGCTGTGATCTGTTGCTGTTCCTGCTGAAGCTCTTGCAGCTCCTCAGTGGTTAGCTCTTCGTTGTGGTCCTCCACCAACTCTTCCACATCCTCCAAACTCACATCCAACCCCATGGAACTCCCCAATGCCACAAAAAAGTTCACAACTGACATAGGCTCATCAGGGGCTGCCTCAAACCCTTCAAAATCCCTCTTGTGGACACAATCTGGCCACAAGTTTCTCCAAGCAGAGTTCAAAGTCCTGGTAGTCACTCCCTCCCAAGCCATACCTATAAGGCTTATGCAATGGAGAATACTGAAGTGTTCTTTCCAAAAAATCTCTTAGGGTCAAGTGAGTGTCTGAGGTCACATTTAAGCACCTTTCAAACATTGCTTTGGTGTAGAGTTTTTTAAAGTTTGAAATGACCTGCTGGTCCATGGGCTGGAGGAGAGGAGTGGTATTCGGGGGGACAGAACTTTACTGTGATGAACCCAAACTCCTTCAGAATCAGGTCATCCAAGTTTGGAGGATGTGCAGGTGCATTGTCCATTACTAGGAGGCACTTGAGATCCAATTTCTTTTCCAGGAGGTAATTCTTCACCTAGGGCCAAACACTTCATTGAACCACTCGACGAAAATTTCCCTCATGACCCATGCCTTATTATTAGATCTTCAAAACACACACAATTTACTCTTCATAACATTGTTTTTTTTGAACACTCTGGGATTTTCAGAATGGTACACTAGTAACGGCTTCACTTTGAAATTCCCACTAGCATTAGCACAGAACATGAGCATCAGCCTGTCTTTCATAGGCTTGTGTCCTGGCAGTGCCTTTTCCTCCTGAGTAATGTAGGTCCTTTTGGCATTTTCTTCCAAAAGAGGCCTGTTTCATCACAACTGAATACTTGTTCAGGTTTCAGTCCTTCAGCCTCTATGTACTCCTTGAATTCCTGCACATATTTTTCAGCCGCTTTTTGGTCTGAACTGGCAGCCTCACCATGCCTTATCACACTGTGTATGCCAGTATGCTTCTTAAATCTCTCAAACCAGCCTTTGCTGGCCTTAAATTCACTCACATCACCACTAGTTGCAGGCAATTTCTTTACCAAATCGTCATGCAACTGCCTAGCCTTTTCACAAATAATTGACATCATAAGAGTATCTCCTACTAATTGTTTCTTGTTTATCCACACCAATAATAACTTTTCAACATCTTCAAGTACTGGTGATCTCATTTTTGTCAGCATATTTACCCCCTTTGCAACAACAGCTTCCTTGATTTCCTTTTTCTTGGCTATGATGGAAGATATGGTTGTATGGGATTTGTTATACATCCTGGCCAGTTCGCCCACATGTACGCCACTTCCATATTGTTCAATGATGTTTTTCTTAAATTCAATTGTATTTCTCAACTTCTTTACCAAAGGCTTGGCACTAGGAGCTTTCTTTGGAGACATGGTAGTTTATTTAGCACTTGCAAGCACTAAAATGAATGGAATACAGTGGACCCCCGCTTAACGATCACCTCCCAAAGCGACCAATTATGTAAGTGTATTTATGTAAGTGCGTTTGTACGTGTATGTTTGGGGGTCTGAAATGGACTAATCTACTTCACAATATTCCTTATGGGAACAAATTCGGTCAGTACTGGCACCTGAACATACTTCTGGAATGAAAAAATATCGTTAACCGGGGGTCCACTGTATTATGAAATATTTCGTATGAACACGTGAGAGGACCGTCGCTCACTGTAAACAATGGCACACTGGCTGGGAAGGGAGGCCGAGGCCCGTGAGTACGAGTCCCAGACGAAGGACGATCAGCGTGTTAACGGACCATTTGCAAGCCAATGTTTTAAGATGAGGTATGATAAAGCTCATGGAGCAGGGGGAGAGAGGACCTAGTAGTGGTCGGGGAAGAGGCGGGGCCAGGAGCTGAGTCTCGACCCCTGCAACCACAATTAGGTGAGTACACACACACACACACACACATACATTTGATATATACTCAAGCCCCTATCACTTAAAACCTCCCTCACTCCTGCCCTTCCTGAGATTACCCATACCCCCTACATCCTTCCAGCCTGGATTTATACACCCTCTTGGTGATCTTCTTGTGCTCCATCCTCTCAAAATGCCAAAGCCATCTCATTAACCCTTCCTCTGCCCTCTGAATAACAACTTTCATAACCCAACACCTTCCTATAATTTCTATGCTCTGAATTCTTTGCATAATATTCTCACTGTACACTGCTCTCAAATGTTACATTATGCACATCTTAAATCTTTTTTAACTACCACCCAACAGGATGGGTAGAAGATGCACAATAAAGTCATC